TGTTTTACGTAATTATTTTCTATTTACTATATTTGGTTATACCTTTGCTTTTACTTTATTTCTTTATCTCTTTTATTTATACTTGACCCTTTTTAGGTCGTTCCAGTATTCGCTAGTATCTTAACATTTATAACATTCTCATTGACAGGAGGTAGACTTGACGCTGCAGTCGTATTCTCTTCTTTGGCATTATTCAACGTTCTTCGAAAACCTATAGCATTCATGCCAATGGTTATAGCTGCTGTTACTGATGCCTATGTAGCAATTAATCGAATAAATGAATTTTTGCAAGCTGATGAATTATCAGTCTTACCGGGAATCAATCCGGACGAACAATATGCTATTAGAGTTACTGATGGTGAATTTATTTGGGAAAGTGCTTCACCAGAAGAAATCAATGATAAATCAAAAAGAATAAAGAAAAAACAAAAGAATGGGAATGATTCTTCAACTGTTGTTTCTAATGGAATAGCTACGGATTCAGTTGATGATATTTTTGACACCTCTACAGCTTTGACACCTGCAGATTTAGCTAAAAACCTTGAAAATTCTCAACCACTTTCTCCAAAATCTCAACTTTGTAACATTAACGTTTCAATACCTCGTGGAAAGTTGATTGCCATTATTGGTTCCGTAGGGTCTGGTAAATCTTCACTATTGTCTGCTCTGATTGGTGAAATGAAAAGGATTAAAGGAGAAGTTCTACTTGGCGGAAATGTTGGATACTGTCCTCAAACTGCGTGGATTCAAAATACTACACTCAGGGACAATATTACTTTTGGATTACCTTTTGATGAAGAAAAGTATCGACAAGTAATTAAAGATTGTTGTCTAGAACCAGATTTAAAAGTATTGCCCGCTGGTGACCTTACTGAAATTGGAGAGAAAGGAATTAATTTATCCGGAGGGTGCGTATTGATTTATTAATTATATATGTATTAATAATAAAATATATCCTGTATTTTTTTTAAAAAAATTCCATTTTGATTCTTCAGACAAAAACAACGTGTCAGTATTGCAAGAGTTGTATACTATAATGCTGATATTGTGTTATTAGATGACCCATTATCGGCAGTTGACGCACATGTTGGAAAGTATTTATTCACAAATTGTATTCAAGGTGCACTTGCCGAAAAAACACGTTTACTTGCCACACATCATTTACATTATCTACCACAAGTTGATTACATAATATGTTTAGAAGACGGTGAAGTCGCTGAACAAGGAACTTATGAAGAATTAATGAAGAATGGGAAAACCTTTTCGAAATTGATTGCTGAATATGGTAAAGTTGAAAGTGATGATGAAATAAAAGAAGACAAAGGGCCAACTTTGGACGACGGAAAAGAAAATAAAAAAGATCAGACAGTTATTTTGTCTAACGAATTAATGTCAACGGAAGAACAGTATAGAGGGGCAGTGGATAGTGAGATATATTTGGCATATTTAAGAAATGCGGGTGGATTTTTATTGATACTATTCATTATTTTCTTGCTTACTATGATGCAAGGAACAAATATTGGGTATGTTTCACATCTTAATATTTTAATACCATTTGAATTACATACATAATCTTATGCATATCGAGAAAATTGCTAAACTTACAACACTGTCATTTTTTTTAGAAATAATTTATGGCTTTCGTTCTGGTCCAGTAACACATTTGACATTCCAGTAGGACATTATGTAGATATCTTTAAAATTTATGAAGTCTTAAATTACAGTATAACCAGGCACAATTAATTAATTTAAATGCATCGATAGATGAGTGTTTATTGCTCATGGGGAGTCGCTCAAGGGATTTTTAGTATTTTAAGTGGTGTTGCAATTTCTTACAGCGGTGTCAACGCAGCCAAGAGATTACATCATAGCGTAATTAAACGTGTATTAAGAGCGCCAGCACGTTTTTTTGATACTACTCCTTTAGGAAGAATTATTAATCGGTAATTGTTATATCCAACTTATCGTTAAACACCTTATTTTAATGATATAATATTTTCTAATCCAATTTTATTTAATATCCAGATTCAGTAATGACATCGACACATGCGACAGTTTACTTTCTGAATCATATCGAGTGTTTCTTACAACCTTCTCGGACATTATTGGACTTTTTATTCTAATTGTAGTGGTGTTTGTGTGGTTTATTGTCCCTTTGGTTCCTTTGATCATGCTTTATTATTTAACAGCTCTTTATTATCGGACGTCTAGTCGCGAATTAAAGCGTAATTATCGTTATCATCATTGTCTAACAGTAAATTATATATATATATATTTAAAAAAATGGTTTACGCTATTTTTTCTTTATTACAGGAATTGATTCGGTATTAAGATCTCATCTACATGCTCATTTTTCCCAGACACTTACAGGGCTGCCGACTATTCGTGCTTATCGTGAACAAGAAAGATTTTTGAGGTCTTTAAAATTTGATGCTTTATTATCTTTAATATAATTTTCTTAATATAATAATCGTTTCTTCTTACCTGAAAATATACTTGAAAATAATATAGAAACAACGAAACGTTTTTAGATATCGAAAATAGAGCATATTTTCTCATTATATGTGCCCAACGATGGCTTGGAGTGCGTCTTGGAGCCATCGCAACTATCATAATGTTTTTTGCAAGTTTATTTGCAATAATTTTTAGACTTAATGTTGCACCTTCAATTACTGGATTAGTATTGTCTTATGCACTTCAAATTACATCATTTTTTAATTGGTGTATCAAACAATTTGCCGAAGTGGTGAGTAAATAATATTTTAATAATATATTTTAAAGGATTTTATTTTTTATCGCCACATAGCGATGTATCGCCGATTGTGATTAGTAATCTATAGGTAACCTATATTACTAATCATAGGCGGGCTTGAATATTGAAACCCCGACATCACGCGGCGCGACATTTAAAATTCGGGATTTTGATTTTCGGAATTTTGATT